GGCTCAAGCAATCCTTCTGTCTCGGCCTCCCGAGTAGCTGGGACTACAGGCATGCGCCACCATGCCCGGCTAATTTTTTCTATATGTGTATTTTTTACTTGGCCAATTAATTTCTATTTATAGTAGAGACGGGGTCTCGCTCTTGCTCAGGCTGGTTTTGAACTCCTGACCTCCAGCAATCCACCCACCTCGGCCTCCCAGAGTGCTAGGATTACAGGCTCATTTCCCTACTTTCTAATGAGGTTGTTCACATTTTCACATGTTTATTGGGAATTTGGAGACCCTTTTCCATAAAGTGACCGTTGTCCCTTTTTTCCTACTGAGTAGTCCCATCTTTTTCTTAATGATTTATAGAAGTTCTTTCTACATTGTGGGCATGAGTTTTCTATTTAGATACACATATTACAGTTAACTTCGCCCATTCTTTACCTTGCCTTCTCTTTATAGAATATCTTTGGATGAACGCAAGTTCTTACTAATATTTTCCTTTATAATTAGTGCCTTTTGTGTCCTATTCAATAAAACTTTGTCCCTAGGCCACAGAGCTATTTTACTTTGCTTTCTTCCAGAAGCTTTATGGCTACAGCTTTTGCGTTTAGGTGTATGATGTATCTTCACTAATTTTTGTATATGAGATGAGTTAGATGATCAAGATTCATTTTGTCCATTTCAGTTGACCCAGCATCATTTACTGAAAAGGCCATCCTTTCTCCACTGCAATGTCACCTGTCATACATCAAAAGACTACATATGTATAAGCCTATTCGTGGATTCTCTACTCAGTTCCACAGTCTGTCTAGACTTGTGCCAATACCACACTGACATGACTCCATTATTGATCTAGTAGCTGTATTTTTTTTATTTCGGCATATTATGGGGGTATAGATTTTAAGGTTTCAATAAATGCCCTTTCCCCCCTCCCCCCACAAGTCTGATTTTCCAGCATGACCATCCCTCAGATGGTGCACATCTCACTCATTATGTATGTATATACCCGCCCCCCTCTCCCTTACCCCCTCCCCAATACCCTATTACTATAGTACCTATGTGTCCACTTAGGTGCTACTCAGTTAATACCAGTTTGCTTGTGAGTATATGTGGTGCTTGTTTTTCCATTCTTGGGAGATCTAGTAGCTTTAGACCCCCAACTTTGTTCTTCTATTGTCTAGAATTTCCAAATAAATTTTATAATCAGCTTATCAACTTCTATTTTTGAAAAAAGCCTGCCGGGATTTTGGTCGTGATTACACTCAATCTACAGGCTTCTTTGCAGAGCAATAACAACTCACCATTATTTTAAATCTTTAATTTCTCAGCGTTTCAGCTTGCAATGAGTTTTTTTCATGAATGGGTGTTGAATTTTATCAAATAGTTTTTCCTCCTTTATTCTGTGTATGAGGTTAAGTAACATTTGTTGATTTTCTAAGGTTAGCCAAAGTTTACATTCCTGAAATAAATCCAACTTGGTCATGACTAACCTTTTTATAGATTTCTAGATTTGATTTACCAATGCATTGTTTTAAGCCTTTTTTTGAGACAGTCTCACTCTGTTGCCCTGGCTAGAGTGCCATGGCATCAAGCCTAGCTCACAGCAACCTCAAACTCCTGGGCTCAAGCAATCCTCCTGCCTCAGCCTCCCGAGTAGCTGGGACTACAGGCATGCGCCACCATGCCCGGCTAATTTTTTCTATATGCGTTTAGTTGGCCAATTTCTTTCTATTTTTAGTAGAGACAAGGTCTCGCTCTTGCTCAGGCTGGTTTTGAACTCCTGAGCTTGAGTGATCCACCCACCTCAGCCTCCCAGAGTGCCAGGATTACAGGCGTGTTTTAAGACGTTTGTATCTTTTTGTGAGCACTTGACTTATAATTTTCTTGTAATATTATCCAGCTTTAACAACGGGGTTACGCTGCCCTCATAAAAGCACTCTTTCATTTTTTAAACATTTGGAAAATTTCACTAGTGAAGCCACTTGGGCCTGAAAACTTTTCTATGGCAAGATTTTTAACTACAAATGCAATTTCCTTAATAGATATAGGACTACTCAGATTTTCTAGTTCTCAGGTCTCATGTGAGACATTTTATGTGGAAAGCCTTGTCCATTTCATCTGAATTTCCCAATCTATTACCACATAATTGTCATAACATCTTAAGTTCTTTTCAGTGTCTGAGGGATATGTACTGATAATTCCTTTTCGTATGGTATTACACCAGTAATACCATACACCTCTAAGGCTCGTTTCCACTCACCAAAAAATAATAAGACAAAAAAAAAAAAAAAAGGCTGGTGTGCACCATCATACCCATCCACAATCTCAGGAATATTCTCCAGCAGTACTGCCCACAGATGGAGCAGAGCAGGTGGAGCATATGAATAATCCAGCAATTCTCTCCAAAGCGTTTACTACCAGAAACAACTGTGAACCTGAGCAAAAGGAGACACGAACCGAAGGAGGGAACCGCTGTTAGTAATGTGCTAGCGTGGCCAGCAAAAACTTAGAAGAAAAACCACCACTGAGCAGAGTTGTAAGCTGGGATACCCAGCCCTCCACTCCCAAGGTGACCAGAGATAGAACTCAAGGAGCCATGAGATCATACTTTTTTTTTTTCTCATACATCTTTATTTTCACAAATCTCTAGCTGGAAAAAAAAAAAAAAATCAGTATTTTGTTGGGTTATAAATGTGGTCAAGCAGCTATAGTAAGACCAGTTCCGGTGACTTTGTCACCAATGAAAGTCACAGATATTTTCATACCACGGTGCAGCTGTTGCAGATACTGTAAAATCATTTACACAGGCATCAGTACTTTGAAATTACAGGATTTGCTACTGCACTGAATTTTGTTACTTGATGCATTAATAAAGAAGCACATATACTCATGTTTTTAATACTATTTTGATAAGTTTGTTTCAATATCATTTATGACTTTTTTTAATGCCTTTTAAAACATTGACTACCCCAGACTCCAAAGAGGTCCATGGCACCAAAAAACAAAACAAAAAAAAATTAAGAACCCCTAGGGGCTGGGCGTGGTGGCTCATGCCTATAATCCTAGCTCTCTGGGAGGCCGGATTGCTTGAGGTCAGGAGTTCTGAACCAGCCTGAGCAAGAGCGAGACCCCATCTCTACTATAAATAGAAAGAAATTAATTGGCCAACTAATACACATAGAAAAAATTAGCCGGGCATAGTGGCGCATACCTGTAGTCCCAGCTACTCGGGAGGCTGAGGCAGGAGGACTACTTGAGCCCAGGAGTGTGAGGTTGTTGTGAGCTAGGCTGATGCCACGACACTCTCTAGCCTGGGCAACAAAGCGAGACTCTGTCTTAAAAAAAAAAACCAAAACAAAACAAAAAACCCCTAGGAACCCCTGGGAGGAATGGAAGATTTCATGCCAGGCAGGGAAATGCAATGCAACTTTTAAGGAGCACTTCCCCCTGGGCCAGGCCCATGCTGACTAGTTCCTGATGTTACCTACAGGGCTCCCACCAGCATCCAGCCACCCCCAAAACTCACTGCCCCCTCCAGAGACTTGGCCTTGGCTCTAGGTGGATCCATCTACACTCCTTCCCAAGAAGGGGGCAAAGCAAAAAGTAGATAAAGCACAGGCTTTGAGCCAAAAGAGGAGTCCCAAACAGAGCCTTACCTGCACTACTTTGTGGCTTTGGCCCCCTCCTGAACTTTATCCCACTGTGAAAAGGGGTAACATTACCTGTCTTTCCCAGTTGCTGTAAGGTTTTGAAATAATGTCTCCAAAGCACCTGACAAGCGTATAGTCGCCTCAATTAACATTAATTGAATCTCGCAGGTCAGAACTGCCCCCACTCGCACACTTACAGTTAGGGACCGCCACCAAGAAAGGAGGGAGAATAAAGATGGAACAAGAAGAACGGTTCTTCAGAGTCTAGTATGAAAACCACCCCTTCTTCAACGAAGTCCTCCCTCTCCCCGTGTTCCCGTAACAATCACGTGGAAGTGGCTGCCTAGCTCTGAAAAATGAATGAGAAACACAAGACAGAAAGGGACAGAAGCAGTGTCTCACCCCCACACACAAGGCAAACCACCAAAGATGCCAACCCCCTTAGCAGAACAGTCTCGATCCGACAGCAACGAACACAGGAAGCAGCAAGTTCAACGCCAATGCCACCCCTGGTGCCTCCGGGGAGGACTGGGGGAAGGAGGGCTTTTCCACGTAAAGATCGGTGCCCCCTGAAAACTAGGCTCAGGAGAGATGAGGGAAACTGAGTCTCAAGACTGGAGAGAGCAAAAGAAGTCTCTAGCTTTGGGGTCGCAGCAGGCAGGCAGGCGAGCCTCTGATACTTTCAAGGGGAGCAGAGCATGCGACCCCACAGCAGCGCTGGAAATCGGGGGGGAAGCCGAGGAGAGCGGGCGCGGGGACGGGGTGCGGCAGGCGGGAACCCGGGTAACCGCGCCCCGACCCCCGCCTTCGCCTGCGCCCCGCCGCCTTTGTCTCCTCGGCCGCCCGGGAACTTCCTCCGTCCCGCCCCGGGCGCGCGCACGGGACCCGGGGTAGGCGGCGGCGCGCGTCTCGCGCAGTCCTTGCTTCCAAACGCGCCAGAGCGCAGCGGGAGAGCCAGCGCCTCATCTCCCCGGAGCCCGCGAGCGCCCAGCTACCAACCTCCGGGCGGTCCCGGGCGGCGGCGGCGACGTTCTGGCGCGCCCCCGACGCCCAGCACCCCTCTCCCGGCACTTCCGAGTCCCGGCGGCGGCTGCAGCCGAGGGCTTCCCCGGGACGCCGCCCGCTCGCCCCCGCCCGCGCGCGCCCCCGCCGTGCCCGCGCGCCCCAGGCAGCAGGACTCGGGGACCCGCGGCGTCCCCGGGGCGGTGGCGAGCAGGCCACGCCGGGGGAGGGGGAGGGGAGCGGCGGGAGGGCGGCCCTCCTCTCCGCACCCCGCCTGCGCGCCCCCCAGTCCCCGCGCCGAGCCGGGCGCGCAGTGCAGGGCTGGGGCTGCTTGCAGACTAACTGCAGGGCGGAAGTCACCTGAAACTCAAGGGGGGCGGCCGATCCGACGCCAGTGGTCCCCACGTACGTTTTGCAGGCCGACGGAGGTCGCCCGGCGGGGTGGGAAGAGGGCGGGCTTTGCGGCCCTGGCAGCTTCTCGAGCTTGCAGGCTGAACTTAGCCCCTGGGAGCCTCCCGGTCCGCCGCTGCAAGGCAGAAGTAAGCTGCTCTGCTTTTTCTTCGCAAGTCAGAGTGAAAATCAAATGGCACGAAGTTCATGAATCGTCAAGCAACTTACAGAGATCACTGCTGCAAAATGGGTAGCAGCAATTTGGAATGGGGCTTGAAAACAGCCGAGGATCTGAAGATGCCTCAACTGGATGTGATCGCGACGGCGTCCTCATGCAGAGTCTTGCTGCTCAGAGGCCTTCAAGCCTGAGCTAAAGGACAGAACTTGCCCGGGTTCCACCGATTTATCTGAGCTCGATCCCTTATCTGAGCAGATTCACCTGGGCTCTCGATTGATCTGAGCAGAATCACCTGGGCTCTGGTTAAAACCTCAGGCTTCTGGAACCCTCCTCAAACCAAACATTCGGACTGCCCAGGGGAGGGGCGGCTCAGGTGGCTCTGTGATGAGGTCAATGTGGATAACTGCGCTAGGCAGCAGGGGGTCACAGAGGTCGTGTTCTAAGGAATTTAATCTAGCAGTCATTGATATGGTCCAGAAGATTATTTTTTCTTATTGCAAAATTCTCCGGGAAGCCAGAGTATGAACTAAGAAAGAGAACTATCTTCTCTTTCAGCTTCCTCCATCCCACTCCTAACACCTGGTACAGGATGGCGTTCAGGAAGCAGGTGTTAGTAAACTAGCCCCAAGTAGGAGTGCCAGATTTAACAAATAAAAATTAAAATTTATTTTACAGTATTTGTCTTTCTGTATCTGGCTTATTTCAGTGAGTACAATGTCTTCCAGGTTCATACGTATCACAAAATGAGAAGATTGCCTTCTTTTTTAAGGCTAAATAATATTCCATTTTACATGTATGCCATATTTCTTTATCCAATCATCCGTTGTTGGATACTTCTGCTGTTTCCATACCTTGGCTATTGTAAATATGCTAGAAAATGCTGTCTGGTCATGGTGGCTGATGCCTGTGATCCCAGCACTTTGAGAGGTCAAGGTGGGAGGATTGCTTGAGCTCAGGAGTTTGAGACCAGCCTGGACAACATAGTGAGACCCCCAGATAAACAACAAGTTTCAGATAACGAATACGTTTTTAGCATCAATACTGCCCGTGCAATACTTGGGACATAGTTAACGCTAAAAAGAAAGCTATTCGTTGTTTATCTGAAACTCTAATTTAAGAGGGCATTTTATCCGGCAACTCTAGATCCAAGGATTTGACAGAGGGGGGGCGGTGGAGTAAGAACTCAGCTCAGGGAGGGTCAGACTCAGGCAGGAATGAGATAACAGCTCCTACATTATTCCTAAATGAGGCGGAGATGTTAATTGTAGGTTCACAGTCATTTACACTTAACCCCCCTCCATCCCCCCCAACACACTGTATTCACCTGAAAACACAAAGGAAAATAAAAGTAGATTTGACCACAGGCAAGTCAGAAACATCAATTAAATAAAAATAGCCAACATTTAAAGATAAGCAATAGACTGGGGAAAGTATTTGTGGGAAATATGCAAAGTGTATATTATTATATAGAGACATAATAAAACTAATAAGAAAACACTAGAAGCCAAGTGTAGATGAGCAAGACATGAACAGTCAATTCACTAAAAGAGGAGGGAAATAAAATTAGAAAACAAATATATTGCACAAAGCTCAATGAATGCATAGTAAGATATTAACAAGAACACACAGTTTTCCATATAGTAAGTTGGCAAAAAAAAAAACTAATAAATGATATTAAAGGCTGGCAAGGGTGCTGGGTGATAGCACTCACACAATATTTAGGTAGGTAGGTAATCAATTTGGCAATATTGAAACCCTTAAAATGTATCCTTAAAATTGCTCAAAGAATCCTTACAAGTGCTCAAACTTTTTGATTTTGAATTCTATTTATGGGCATAAATGGAAAGAAAATAGTCTCTAATATAGAAAACACTCTCCTTTTTAGTTTTATTGAGGTAATTGACCAAAGTTGTGTACACTCCAGATGTACAATGTAGTGTGTTGATAACATACACATTCTGAAATTACTACAATCAAGGTAAATAACGTATCCATCATCTCACATAGCTACCTTGTGTGTGTTTGTAGAATTCTTAAGATCTACTTTCTGAGCAAATTTCAAGAATATGTTATGTTTAACTATAGTCACCATGCTGTCATACATTAGGTCTCCAGAATTTACTTATAACTTCAATTTCGTACCCTTTGACTACATCTCCCTGTTTCCCCCATGCCCCAACCCCTGGCAACCACTGTTCTACTCTCTGCTTCTATGAATTAGACATTTTTTTTCTTTTTATTTGAAACAGAGTCTCGCTTTGTTGCCAGGCTAGAGTGAGTGCCGTGGCGTCAGCCTAGCTCACAGCAACCTCAAACTCCTGAGCTCAAGCAATCCTGCTGCCTCAGCCTCCCGAGTAGCTGGCACTACAGGCATGCGCCACCATGCCCGGCTAATTTTTTCTATATGTATTAGTTGGCCAATTAATTTCTTTCTATTTATAGTAGAGACGGGGTCTCGCTCTTGCTCAGGCTGGTTTCAAACTCCTAAGCTCGAACAATCCACCCGCCTCAGCCTCCCAGAGTGCTAGGATTACAGGCGTGAGCCACCGCGCCCAGCCTTGAATTGGACATTTTTAGATTCCACATATAAGTAAAACCATGCAGTATTCGTCTTTCTGTATCTGGTTTATTTCAGTGAGTATAATGCCCTCCAGGCTCATGTATATCACAAAATGAGAAGATTTCCTTCTTTTTAAGGCTGAATAATATTCCATTGTACATGTATGCCAAATTTCTTTATCCAATCATCTGTTGTTGGATACTACTGCTGTTTCCATATCTTGGCTATTGTAAATAATGCTGGAAAATGCTCTTAAAGTCTGGACCTGGTGACTAACACCTGTGATCCTAGCACTTTGGGAGGTCAAGGTGGGAGAATTGCTTGAGTTCAGGAGTTCGAGACCAGCCTGGACAACATAGTGACACCCCATCTCTACAAAAACATAATTTTAAAATGAGCTGAGTGTGGTGTTGATGTGCCTGTAGTCCTAGCTACTTGGTAGGCTGAAACAAGAGGATCACTTGAGCCCATGAGTTTGAGACTGCAGTGAGCTATGATTATGCCACTGTTGTCTGGGCAACAGAGTAGGACCTTGTCTCTAAAATATAAAAAAAAAAAAAGAAGTTATGAACAAGTATTTTAATTTCCATAAATGTATACAATTATGATTTGTAAATCAAAAATAATTTTAAAGTTATAATCTTAATTTGTACTATTTTAATTTATACCATAATTACCAAAATATACTATAACCGGGAGAAAAACATCCTGAAAACTCCATAGTTTTCCAAAAGCAGAGAACAAAAACAGTACAATCAAAATTTATAAGCTCTGCTTTGTGATGTCTTACATATGCAACCCTTTGAAATAATGGTTACCAGGTATATGTCATATGACAAAACTACATATCTTTTAAAGGTATGCATGGAAAAGTGACTGGAAAACAAGTAAGGTTGAGTTTGGATAGTGGGGCTTTTTAATTTTCCACATTTTTATGGAAAAAATTTTATAATAGAAAAAATATTACCTAAAAAACAAACAAAAGGCTTTTATTATCATAAAAGTAGTTTTATGGACTCAAGAATCTTACTTTTGCATAGTTACATACTGAATGCTGAGCTATCTAAATATTAAAAGTTCCTTAAAACATTTTCTCCAAATATAGACACATTTCCAAACTCTGTCATCTGTTAACTTAGGAACTATCCTTAGCAAATTCTTAATTCTACACTGAATTTATCAAATAGGTCATTCATATAACTATATATTAATTAAAGTACCTTGAGTATTTTTAAAATTTCAGCAACTCACATGAAGCCTTGGGTTTTTCTCCCTTTGGATTAAACTCTAAAACGTACAAGCTTAATAAAAAAATAAAAATAAATAAAAAATAAAAGGCATAAGCTTAATAGCACAGACATCTCTTTTTAAAATAATTTGTGATAAAATACACAAAACATAACATTTACCATCTTAACCATTTAAAGTGTACAGTTCAATAGTGTTGAGTACATTCACCTTGTTGTACAACTCTAGACTCTTCCTCTTGCAAAACTGAGACTCCATACCCATTAAATACTCCTCATTTCCCTTTTTGCTCCAGCCACTGGAAAACATTATTCTACTTTCTGTCTCTATGAATTTGAGTACCTTAGGTACTTCATGCAAAGTACCTATATAGCATTTGTCCTTTTATGACTGGCTTATTTCACTCAGCATAATGCCCTTAAAGTACATCCATGTTGTAGCATAGGTCAGAATTTTCTTCCCTTTTGAGGCTGATAATATTCCATCGTATGTGTATACCACATTTTTACCCATTCATCCATCCATGGACTCTTGGATTGCTTCCATATTTTGTCTATTGTAAATAATGCTGCTATGAATATGGGTATATGAATATCTCTTTGAGACTCTGCTTTCAATTCTTTTGGGTATACACCCAGAAGTGGAATTGCTGGATCATGTGGTAATTTTATTTTTAATTTTATAAAACACCACCATACTGTTTTCCATGGAGGCACCATTTTAAATTCCCACCATCAGTGCACAGGGTTCCAATTTTTCCATACCAACACTTGTTATTTTCTGGTTAAACGTTTGTTTTTATGGCAGCCATTCTAATGGTGAGGTAGTATCTCCATGTGGTTTTAATTTGCATTTCTTTAATGATGAGTGATGTGCTTCTCTTTTCAAGTGCTTATAGGTCATGTACATATCTTCTTTGGAGAAATGTCTAATCAAGTCCTTTGCCCATTTTTAATTGTATGGTTTGCGTTGCGCTGTTTTGAGTTGTAGGAGTTCTTTATACATTCTTGATATGGACCCTTTATCAGATATGTGATTTGCAAATATTTTCTCCCATTCCATGGGTTGTCTTTTCACTCCATTGATTATGTCTTTTGATGCATAGAAAATTTAATTTTGATGAAGTCCACTTTATTCTTTTGTTGCTGGTGGTTTTCATGATACATCCAAGAAATCAATGCCAAATCCAATGTCATGACAATTTTACTCTTTGTTTTCTTCTAAAAACTTTATAGTTTTAGTTCTTATATTTGGCATTTGATCCATTTCAAGTTAATTTTTGCATTGGGTCTAAGGTAAGGATTCACCTTCATTCGTTTGGATGTGGAGACCCAGGTTTCCCAGCTCCACTTGTTGAAAAACATAGCCATCTTTTAGTGGCCAGAGCTTGGAGTGGAAGGAATGGATGGTAGGAGACTGTTTCTCTTGGAAGTGTGAGATAAGATCATTAGAACATACCAATGTCAACGTCTAAATACCAGGAAAAAAGCTGGGTTTGAGGGGTGGGGGCATAGATGGGAGGGAAGGGAGGATTTCCCCCCCTCTCTTTAATGCTTCACACACAGGCAGAAGTGTCTGGTCTTCAAAGATCTGTATCTGACTTGAAGCAGTCAGGCCTCCAGGACTTCCCGACTTGGAGCCAGAGCAGCCAGCCCAGGGGCCAGACATGACCAGAGACTCTTGCTTGGAAGTCTTCTGTTCTGACTGTGCAGGCAAAGCCAGGGAGAGTCCTCCCTGGAGTTGAGAAGCAAACTGGGAATAGAGTAAATTGGGCAAAATTGATGATAATTGAGGTTTAAAGGAGGGAACCAATCTGTGCCTCGGTA